TGGTGGTTCACTCCCCAGAAGGCCACAACGGCCAGAGCTGTGCTGATCCGAAGCCAGGTGTCAGGAATTCCTCTGAATCTCCCACTCAGGTGCAGGGGCCCGAGGACTTGGGTCATCTTCTGTTGCTTTCTCAGGCCACAACAGAAAGCTGGATTGGAAGTGGAGCAGCCAGGACTAGAACCAGCGCCCATATGGGATGCCGACACTGCAGGCACGGCTTTACCGGATATGCCATAGCGCCAGCCCCAAAAGTTTTAAAACTGAAAAATCTCATGAATTTCTCAAAATGATTGGATGTTAGGTCATTAAAATGTAAGATATACATTGGAATTTCAAACTCAGTGTGGAAAAATGGAATGCAGATATAAAAATAAAGCATATAAACTTCACCTATCACCAGAAACTCCATCAACTTCAACACACTAGCCACTTAATTAATCACTACAGAACTGAAGACCCCAGGAATTCAATCATGTCAATGAGGCCTTTTTACACTGACTGAAAAAAAAAGTGAATGTCTTTTAAATAGACTTTTTTTTTAATATCAGAAAACAAAACAAATTCAAAAGAGTAGAATTGGGATTCCTGTGAGGCTCCCCAGGCGGTTTCCTCCTCTTCTCCACCAAGCAGGTACCTCCTACCTTATTCTCCACACTTCTTCTTCCTAGTCCTGCATAGTGTTCTGATCCCTAATCAGCCACCCACCTCAAAAAAAAAACAAAAAACAAAAAACAAAAAACTATTTTTATTGTCTCTACAGCATTGCCTTCCTGCCTTCCTTATGATATGTAAATAGAAGCATTTAATATTTAGCTTTATGAGTTTCATTTATTTTGCTTACCAATATGCATTCATAGATGATATATATGCCTCTTATGGCTTTTAACACATTTTCAGTGCTGATATTGCAACATGAAATGCATTTACCACTGTGGATAGATGTCTTGGTGGCTTGGAGATTGAAAATTCCTGTAAGTATTCACTTACAGATTTTCTTTTATTTACAGTATAGTTTTTTAAATCTGTAGGGTAAATACCCAGAGTCTCAATTGTGGGATCATATTGTACATTAGTTTTAGTTTATAAATAATTGCCAGACTATATTACAAAAGTCTATCATTGCGTATTCCCTGTGCAAATAATTGATAGTTGCTGTTGCTCTACATTCTCTTCATACACAGGTAGTAAATCTTTAGATCTTTAAGTACTAAAATCTCATTATTGCTTCGATTCACAATTCTCTAATTACACATTATGTTTAGCATTTTTTAGGTATTTCATAGCCATCTGTAAAATGTTTTCGATGAGTTGTCTGAAATGCTGTTTCACCTGTTTTTAATTGATTCCTTGATTTCTTCTTGTATTAACAATTCTTTGAATATTGAGAATCCAGAACATTTGTCAAATATGACTTTTGAGAATATTTTCTTTTAGAGTGAGGCTCACCTTTTGATATTAATATCAGTGTCTTTCACAGAACAGAAGTTTGTAGTTTTAATTAAGTCCTACTTATCAACTATTTTCCTCCACATGGATTGTTTTTGATGTTTTAGTTTCAAAAATGCATTGTCAAAACGAAGGCCATCTACACTGTTTCCTATTTTCTTGTAAGAATTTATAAAAAATACAATACTTATTAGTATCACATCTCGAAATTCATGGACATAGAATATGTCTTTAGCTCTTTTTACTTTTTGTTTGCAACCAAGAGAATTTTGTAGTTTCGTGTATACTGTTGCTGTGCATATTTTATTGAATTGCAGATGTTTCGTTTTTTTCTGTGCTATTATTATTTATTTTTTAAAAAAAGATTTATTTATTTATTTGAAAGGCAGAGTTATGGAGAGGGAGAATGAAAGAGAGACAGAGAAAGAAAGATCTTCCATCCGCTGGTTCACTCCCCAAATGGCTGCAATGTCCCCATTTGGTCTGATCCAAAGCCAAGAGCCTGGTGTCTCTTCTGGGTCTCCAATGTGGGTGCAGGGGCCCAGAGGCTTGGGACATCTTCTGTTGCTATCCTGAGCATGACAGCAAGGGGCTGAATTAGAACCAGCACAAATTCATTCATTTCTAATTTTTCTTACTTCTTCTATTCTATTTGCTTTAGGTCTGAATTTCTCTTCCGTAATTTTTTGAGCAAGGAGCTTTGACTGTTGATTTTATATCTTTCTGCATTCCTATATGCACATTAAGTTCTAATAAGATGTCTCAAGACTGATTTCCCATAACTTTTGATTTCTTACTTTGTTCAAAAGAAGAAGATATTTATTTTTAAAAACTCTTCCTTAACTCATGTAATATTTAGAAGGCTGTTATTTGAACTCTAAACAGTTGGAATTTCAATTAATCTTTCTGTTTTTAATTTCTAATTTAATATTTTTATGATCTTTTTTGAATATTTATTTTTATTTATTTTACTTGAAATGCTGAATTACAAAGAGGGGGAGAGAGAGGGAGAGGGAGGAGGGCATAGAGGGGAGAGATAGAGAGAGAGAGAGACAGAGAGAGAGAATCTTCCATACTCTGGTTCACTTCCCAAATGGCTGCAAATGGCCAGATCTAAGCCGATCAGAAGCCAGGTCCAGGAGCTTCCTCTGGGTCACACACGTGAGTATAGGGTCCCAAGGACTTGGGCCAGCATCCACTGCTTTCTCAGGCATACCATCAAGAAGTGGATTGGAAGTAGATTGGAGTAGGCTAGACTAGACTAGACCCTGCACCCATATGTGATGCTAGTGCTGCAGGCTGTGGCTTAACCCACTATACCACAGTGCAGGCCCCATCTTTGTAGTCTTAGATCATATTTTATGTACTTCTTTTTCTCATGATATTTTAAATGTATTTCCTGGCTCAGGATGTGTTTTCTTTAAAAATATTGCATGTGAACATGAGAAGTCATATTGTTGTTCTTAGCTGTAATTTTCTACAAAAGTTTACTGTATAAGTTTGTTAGTGTTGTTTAGGTAGACTAGGTATTTCTTGACTTATACATATGCTTGTTCCATCAATTTTGGGGAGAGCTCTGAACTATTCAATGATAATAACATTTTTTTAACTTTTATTTAATGAAATACAACCCTCCCATTTCTCTCTCCCTTCCACCTTCCATTCACATCAAGATTCATTTTCAATTCTCTTTATATACAGAAGATCAGTTTAGCATACATTAAGTAAGTATTTCAACAGTTTGCTCCCACACAGAAACATAAAGTGAAAAATACTGTTTGAGTACTGTTATAGCATTAAATCTCAATGTACAGCACACTAAGGACAAAGATCCTACATAAGGAGTAAATGCACAGTGACTCCTGTTGTTGACTTAACAATTTGACACTCTTGTTTATGGCATCAGCAACCACCCTAGGCTCTTGTCATGAGTTGCCAAGGCTATGGGAGCCTTTTGAGTTCACCAACTCTGATCATATTTAGACAAGGTCGTAGGCAAAGTGGAAGTTCTCTCCTCCCTTCAGAGAAAGGTACCTCCTTATTTGATGACCTGTTCTTTTCACTGGGATCTTACTCACGGAGATCTTTCATTTAGGTGTGTTTATTTTATTTATTTTTTTTTTTTTTTGCCAGAGTGTTTTGGCTTTCTATGCCTGTAATACTCTCATGGGCTTTTCAGCCAGATCTGCATGCCTTAAGGGCTGATTCTGAGGCCAGAGTGCTGTTTAGGACATCTGCCATTCTATGGGTCTGCTGTGTATCTCACTTCCCATGTTGGATCATTCTCTCCCTTTTTGATTCTATCAGCTAGTATTTGCAGACACTAGTCTTGTTTATGTGATCCCTTTGGTTCTTAGTCCTATCATTATGATCAATTGCGAACAGAAATTGATCACTGGAACTAGTGAGATGGCATTGGTACATGCCACCTTGATGGGATTGAATTGAAATCCCCTGGTATGTTTCTAACTCTACCGTTTGAGGTAAGTCAGCTTGAGCATGTCCTGAATAGCACATCTCTTCCTTCTCTTATCCCCACTCTTGTATTTAACAGCGATCACTTTTCAGTTAAGTTTCAGCACTTGAGAATAATTGTGTATTGATTACAGTATTCAACCAAAAGTATTAAGTTGAACAAACAAACAAAAATACTAAGCGGGATAACATATTAAGTTTTTCATCAACAGTCAGGGTGAGGGCTGATCAAGTCACCGTTTCTCCTAGTGTTCATTTCACTTTAACAGGTTTCCTTTTTGGTGCTCAGGTAATAACATGTTTTTTTATAATTTCTTGAAATTTTCTCAGTTCATCTCACGTATTTTGACTCCCATTGTTAGATGCATATACATATGTAACTTTATATCTTTTTGGAAAATAGGCCTATTTATCCTTATGTAATATCTCTTTTAATCTCATAATTTTTCTTGTTCTTGATTTTCTTTCTCTGAAATTAATATGCATTCCAACTTTCATTTGGTTGAGCTTAGCATGATACAAATCTTTCCATCTTTTTTCATGTAACCAATCTAATATTTACATTCAAAATCAGTTACATTCAAATATTTCATTCAATATCAAACCACATGTAATTGGACCTTCTATAAATATTCACTCTGGGCCAGCACAGTGGGTTAAACCGCTGCCTGTGGCACTAGCATCTGATGTAGGTGTAGTTTCAACCCCTGCATGCTCCACTTCTGATCCAGTCCCTGCTAATGTGCATGGGAGAGTAGGAGAAAATGGCCCAAGTGCTTGGGTCACTGCACCCATATGGGAGACCAGGATGAAGCTCTTGTCTCCTGGCTTCCACCCGGCCCAGCTCTGGCTATTGAAGTCATTTGGTGAGTGAACCAGCAGATGGAAGATCTCTCTCTCTCTCTCTCTCTCTCTCTCTCTCATTCTGCCTTTCAAACAAAATCAATAAATCTTTAAAAAATTCACTCTGACAGTATCTAATCTCAATTAGTGAATTCAGACAATTCCATTTAAATGTTATTGATACAGTTGAATAATATCTACCATGTTGATTTTTAAATGTATGTTTATTTCTAACATTTAAATTGTGCAGTTAAAATTATTGCATTTCATCTTTTCTGTTAGTATTAGTGTACTTTTAACCTTTTAGTGGGTGCTCTCATTTACAAAAATATTTTAAACTGAGGCCAGCACTGTGGCACAAGGGGTTAAAGCCCTGGCCTGAAGTGTCGGCATCCCAGGTGGGTACCGGTTCTAGTCCTGGCTGCTCTACTTCTGCTCCAGTTCTCTGCTATGGCCTGAGAAAGCAGTAGAAGATGGCCCAAGTCCTTGGGTCTCTGCACCCACATGGGAGACTAGAAGAAGCTCCTGGCTTCTGATTTCGGATCAGCACAGCTCCAGCTGTTGCAGCCATTTGGGGAGTGAAACAGTGGGTAAAAGACCGCTCTATCTCTGTCTCTACCTCTCTCTGTAACTCTGTCTTTCAGAAAAATAAAAATAAATCTTAAAAAATTAAAGTAATATAGATCAAGCTTCAAATAACACTATGCTGCTTCATAATTAATAAAAGTAGTTTATAATAGAGTATTCTCAGAATGTTTTGGCCTGTTATTATTTTGCTGTAATTAATTTTATATATCATAAATCCCTAGTACATTGTTACTATTATGACTTTATGTACATAGTATTAAGAGAATGAAAATAAAAATTTATTTTGTCTTTATTCCAAAGCGAATTCTCTTCATGTAAATGTGGTTTTCTGATCTATGCTATTTTCCTTCTTTCTACATTCTTTGTCATTTCTTGTTAGACAGGTATGACAGCACTAGGTGATCTTATTGCTTTGCATGTGTAACAGAGAGAATTTCTCTACTTTTGAAAAATAATCTGGTTGCATATAGAATTCTAGTTTAGCCTATTTTTTTTTCTGTTAGTACTTCAAATATTTCACTCCAGTTTCTTCTGCCTTCTGTAGTTTCTGACAAAAGATTGCTGGAATTCTTATCCTTAATCTTGCATAGGTATGGTGCTGGCTTTCTCTAGCTTCTTTCCTAGATTTCTAGCTTTCTTTGGCTTTCTGTAATCTGAATGTGATATTCTTAGTTCCATACATTTTAGGAATTCTCCCTTTTTGTGGTAGGTCTGAGTTCTGTGATATGGCAGTAATGGGGAAAGGCAAAAGCACAGAGTGCATTCTGCCACAAGTATGAGCTGATAAATCTGCACTACGTCCCGCCTGACCCACCTGCAATACTCAGTCATCCTCTGATCTGCAGCTTGCAGCAGCTGCAGAGCTAACAGAACTGGAAAGTCCTTCCCGAACTTGCCCTACACACTGTCAGCCTGTGAGAGAGGTCTGTCGCCTCCGTGTCTGAGGATTCCTCTCTGATAAACCTGTCCCAGCTCTTGAGTTGTTTCTCTCCTCTTCTGAGTCTGTCAGCACCACATATTATTTCTAACAGACAATTTTTATTAATTTTGGGAAAACATTGGCTATCATTAGTTTAGATATTTCTTATGTTCTCTTTTGTCTTTTTGTTTTCTCCAAGTATGCAAGTGTTTCAAAACATAAATATGTTATAAGTAGCACCCTTTAAAATTGCATCTCAGTCTATGGTAATTCTGCTAATTAAAATACTCCCCCCCTTTAAAAATTCCAAAGTTTCCATCAGCTTAACTTCAAGTTCATTTTTTTTTACCTCAGTAGCAGTTATTCTTTTGAGGATGCCATCAAACACATTATTCATTTTTGTTACAACGTTTTCCATTTAAAACGTGTGCTTTGATTTTCTTTTATAACTACCAGCTCTCTCTTTAAACTGCCCATCTAGTCTTGCACAATACGTACTTCTAAACTTTGTTTCTTTAGCTGTTAATGCATTCATCATATTTTAAATCCTAATCTGATGATTCCAAAATATCTCATTTATTGGTGTGATTCTTTTTTTTTAAGATTTATTTATTTATTTGAAAGTCGGAGTTACACGCACACACACACACACACACACAGAGCGAGAGAGAGAGAAAGAAAGGAAGAAAGAGAGAGAGAGAGAGAGAGAGAGAGAGAAGTCTTCCATCTGCTGGTTCACTCCCCAGAAGGCTGCAATGGCCGGAGCTGCGCTGATCTGAAGCCAGGAGCCAGGAGCTTCTTCTGGGTCTCCCACATGGGTGCGGGAGCCCAAGAACGTGGGCCATCTTCTACTGCTTTCCCAGGCCATAGCAGAGAGCTCAATGGGAAGTGGGGCAGCTGGGACTCTAACCAGCGCCCATATGGGATGTCAACACTGCCAGCGACAGCTTTACCTGCTATGTCACAGCGCGGGCCCCAAGTCTTTCAGTCTTAATCCTATCATATTGGAGTTCCTTTCTGTGGAGGTAAGTTGTGGAGAAAGGGAAACTTTAGCTAACCTTATAATTAAAAATCAGTCTTTTTGTGGACCCATATCCTTTGGCTATGATTTCACAAGAATTTTGTTAGCTCCTTTCCTTTGAAATGAAACGGTAAGTATTGAAGGGATTGTAGTTTAAGAAATTCCCTTTCCCTAAGAAGTCTAATACTCTGTGAAAGTCTTCCACCTTGTGGAGTAGACTCTTACTTTGAAACATTCTGAATATTTTTTGTTGTGGTCAAGGTTCTTCCACACCTATCTCTACCGGACACGGATCTTTCCTGACTCTTCATTGTGAGGATTTAATGGTATTCTGTGGTTACACAGGAATGTGTTCCCACCCGTAAAGCTGTAGCACCAAGGTATTTTTCATTCTCAAGTTATTCTACATTTATCTTCTGACAATTTGCCAAAACTATCATATTAATTTTAATACCAATTTATGGATCCAGTAGCGTTTGCTCTAAGGAAGTAGATCTTAGTTGTGAACATTTTCATCTGCCTTTCTCTTTTGATTTGTGGGGAAGTGTGCAATTTGTGCAGAGGCTCAGCTTTATCTGTTTGTAAGTAAGACCTCCTCCCCAGAAATATCACAACTTGTGACAGGTTGACTGAGATATTGCTGTGGACGAATGGAGAATACTTTAGTTTTCATCATATGTTTTTTGAAGTATGAGTTGTATCATTATGTATGAATGTGAACTTTAACTTTGGATAGACTTAACTTCAATAACTTGGTGTAGGGCAATGTTATCATTTTATGACTTGGTCATTATAAAAGCAGGACTTAGTCACCTCTGGCTGTTTCTACTTACATGCCTATTCCTGGTTGCTCCTTGTAATGCATCAGGTACTTGTCTTACACCGCCACTGGTGACTAGTCCAGGCCTTTACAGCTAGCTATAACCTATCTGACTTGCCCCACTGAACCCATCACCCTGCACTGCAGTGATCCATCTCTGTTGCATTGTGCCTCCATGTAGCTCAGAGCTATTTTACACTCATCAATCGGAACACCCCAGAGAAGTTGCTTAAGTAACACTCTGGACCTCAGTGAAGACTGGTTTTTAGGTTCTTTAATTTCTCTGATTGATTATGCATTTGTTGGACAGCGTCCTCCCCACCCCACGCACCCATATTTCCTGATGACCCTGTGAGGCAGGCTGCCCTGTTCTCTCCTGAATTTATGAGTTATACAATTTATTTCCATGATTTCTGTGCTTTGTGATGTTGGCTGCTCTGTATCTCACTTGACTGACACATCTGAACCTAATCTCCAAGTCAACACCCTCCAGGATGGTAGCTATCTTTGTAAGAATAATCAGAACAACAATCAAGCAAGAGTCCAAAGAACATCTATTAGTAGAAATATGTTCTCAGTGAAAGGGGACACCTGGCTATGGACCAAGTACTTGACACCATGCTGTTCAAGAGCGAAATGAAGTACACCAGGAAAGGCACATGCTTGCCATCCATAACCGCCTTCCCTGTAGCTCTCTCAGGAGAAGGCTAAAGTTCATAGCCACACTGGAAGACATCAAAACCAAATTAGAAATAAATCAAAACACAAGGTAAGACTATTGTGTTAAATAACCTAAAAGTCACTTCAATGTGGGATATTGTTAGCTTCCTTCTACAGAAAATTTATAACTTAGCATGTTTGAGTCTTTTATATGTTCGTTATTTATTATCACTAAATATTCAAATATAATTATAGCAATCAATTTTTACTCTTGAGCTAGTTAAACATTGCTTTTCTGATGCTGTGAAAGAATGGCTTTTATTACATGTGGTTTAAAATATTCAGGGAATGAAATAATACTTGCACAAAACATTAATTATTAGATCTCTGGGACATATTTTCTAAGAGTACTTTCTGTTACAAAGAATTTTGTAGAAATGAAAGTGATAGTTTTCTACATCTGCTGCAACTCTTCTCGGCAAGAAGTTCCAGAAACTATTTTCTGCGTTTCTAAATATGAACACTGTAGCCAGTAAACATTTTATTCTTTGATGTGTTCAGGTGTCTGTGGTTTATCTTCTTGAAATTTGGAATTTCAAATTTGGCAACTGATTCCCTTTTCTCCTGGAAACTTAAAGTATGACCATTAAAAAGAATGGCTTGGTTTCCTTACTTGAAAAATAATGCTTTCAATTAAAATAAAGTATTACATTTGAAATGGTTTGATCTTTTCACTCAAGCAGCATTAAATTAAAGACCCACCCCATTTATCATATAAAATATAGTTTGTTCCAAGTTTAAATTTATTGCTATTCCTTCTTGTCCCATGTGACTATTTTTTTCAGGAACTTTGAAAAGACAATTCTCTACTTTAAAGCATAAATGTCCCTGTAATGTGGACATCTGCACTCAGTTTTTTGCCAAGCATTCTTACCAATGTTCAGGAAAACTCTCCGAGATACAGTGGAAGAGTTGGACGATACACCATAGCTAGAGATCTCTGCTTTTTGTTAAATGTCTTTGACTATGATATCATTGAATTCAGTCATTGTTTTTCATGATAGATTGTGGTGCATTGTCACCCTTAATATTCTTTTTTGTGGTTGAATGTCTCCATGGGTCATGAATTGGATAGTAAGATCCAGACAGTCTGACTCCAGAAAAGTAGAAAGCTTTTATGAAAGGATTTCTATTTACTGCAAGGATTTCTATTTGTGCATGATAGCCAAATAAGAAAATACAGTCAGCAAGAAATAACAGTGGATAAGGTTAATAGCATATTGCACTAGACACACATAGAATGCTGTTGTTCAAATAATGTTGTACTTTAATAATGCAAAGAAAAACAAACATGCACATCCAATTGTTCACTTATAGGTAAGATAAATAAAAATATGCAGAAAGTAATCTAAGAGGACATTTTGTCATAAAAATATAACTATTCTCAAATTCTCAGCTCCTATAGATCAATTACATGGATTAAATAAGCATTTCAGATATGATGTGAATTAATGTGACGTACTTGGTTGAGAAGGAATTGAGCATCATTGTGTTAACCAAGGTAGAAACATCACAAAGTTTAGAGATCTTTTTAATTAATTAATGCTGCTTTTGACTCATCACATGTACACTTTTTATCTTTATACACATAGCTTACATTTTCCATTACAACAAATACTTGTTTCTATGTTGGTAGTCAGTATTAAGGAAATTCTTAGAAAATACTTAGTTTCATAAGGTGTTGGTTTCTAGAAAAAACACATTTAATCATCTGAGACAATAAAACAAATTCATTTGAAGTCTGAATTAGTGTCATATTGCATTGTGTCATGCTACACACTGTATTAATAGCTATGTGTGAGAGGAACTGAAGTAGTCTATCCGGCAAAATTCCACTAACAGTCATTGCTTCTGCATTTTGTTCCAAAAACTTCACTTCAAAATACCCTAAATTTCTGAACGATATTCTTTGAAATACATTATTGTTGTATAAATTAACTATAATATTTTAGCATACTTAATTTAAAGTAGTCTAGAAATTTTCTCATATCTATAATCAGCTTCCTTCACCTCTTTCCTGGAAAGCACTGTGTTAGTGTTCTCCACAGAAAGATTCAATTATGTGTGTGTATGTGTTTATACATACATATATACATATATGTAGAGAGATATATAGATATGTTTATTAAAGAAGTGGTACACAAGATTAAGCACGTTGACAAGTCTGAAATGTGTGGGGTAAACCTGCAGAAAAAAACACCCTTACAGAAAAATCAAGAATGATATTTGATCAAATATCTGGACTCTGTGTCCTAGCCATGTTGATATATACACAAGAAATTACTTTTACAAATACATTTGTATATTTTATTTGTACTAAAGGAAAATGACTGTAGCAACCAATGTATTCATTAGTTGTAAGAAATGTGAGGTAGATTAGAAATAATAAACTGCTATAATTGTTCCCATTTTTCCATACAACATAATGTAGATGTAGCTTATCTCTCATTTCATGCGAGATGGCATATGTAAGTTCTTTTTAAAACTTATGAAGTGCAAAAAAAGATTAGATAAAGTACACTTAGGTAATAGTCATTATTGCCTAGTTTTTAGTGCAACTTCTTATGCTTATGTAAGTTGCTTTATCACACAAACTCCAGCCAACTCTTATTTCTCTTCCTAGATAAACTGTGTGTTGCCATTCACCTTTAACTCATTTTGATTATGGTAGAAGTTGGTGAACTATTCCTCAAATAATACTTTGACAAGAAGAGAAATAATTTGGATAAATTTGTACAGTCTAAGATGTAGGTAATTCCATCCTGTTTCTAATCATGTTACCCTGTTACAGATAATCAGAAAGTAAAATTGAGAAGTTTATTTGAATATACTTTTGTGGCGCTGTGGATATCTAACTTTCTGTAAGGATGTTCTTTCTCCTGATTATTAGATGCCTCCGTATGTCTACCACCTGAATAATAATTTTTAAAATAGTCAATTGCAATTATTGCTTTCAAAGTGGAAAAGAATGTGACTGGCATTGTTTCACAGTGTTAAGCCATTGCCTGTGACACAGGCATTCCATGTAAGCACCGGTTAAAGTCCTTGCTGCTCCACTTCCAATCCAACCGTCTGCTAATGCACCTGGAAAGCAATGTAAGTGCCCCTAAGTATTTGGGCCTCTGGAATCCACATGCAAGACTTGGATAGAGTTTTTGCTCCTTTATTTGTCCTGACCAATCTCTAGCCATGACAGATATTTAGGGCTGCCTCTCTCTCTCTCTCTCCCTCTCTCTCTCCCTCTCTCCCCCTCTCCATCTCCATCTCTTTATTTCTCTGTCTCTACTTCTCTTTCAAATAAATAAACCGTAAAGATACAAAGGACTATGAAAAATAGTGATCACATTTAGTAATTATAAAGAGAGCATGGGTTTTGATGCAAGACAGAGCAGCTTGTATCACTGGAGCATGGTTCACACAGAATATCTTCAAGAGACAAAAGATTACCTCACCTGCTGGCTAGGAAAGAAAGAGACTCAATAAAAAAGGAGGCCATCCTGTTACAGCTGTATGCAGTCACAGATGTGTGGTGGGCAGAACCTCACAATTTTCTGTACTATTGAAACATTGTTTACTAACAGCAGTGAGCACAGGACTTTGAAGATGATGGTACTGAAGTAAACACACTGTTTTTTGAATTTGCCCTATAGCAATCCTGTAAGGAATTCCTTGAATCTGTAAGAGTAGGACGACTTTTTCTTTCCATGAAATAGAGAAAACAAAACTAAATGGCACTACTTCAGCTTTGAATTTAAATAAATTTCATTGCATTAGCTACCTCACTTTTTCTGGCCATGGATCGGGATTAAGAAGGTAATGGCCAATGTTATTTTTGTTTTGAATTATTATACTGACCATTAGAATGTCTTTTGAATTACTAAATGACTAGCAAGCTCAAAAATTCAACACAGAGGATAAAGAAACAAATGCATCAACTAATATAGCAATCCTCAGTGTGTAGAAACACTGCTTAATAAGTAAAACACGAGTGACATCTGGGTATTCACATAATTTAACTAACATTCAGATTTCTTCTTTGTGGAATATGTTTTATGACACTTACTTTTTTATTTGTTTTCATTTTATTGGAAAGCAGTGATTCAGAGACAGAGATCTTCTGATGACTGGTTTACTCACCAAATTCCTGTAACACTTAAGGCTTCAACTAGGCTGCACTCAGAATCTGAGAATTCAATCCTGGTACCCATGTGGGTAGCAGGGATCTGCATGCTCACCTCCTAACTCCCAAGGTGAACATCGGCGGGAAGCTGGACTGGAAGTAGAGGAGCCACAGTTAGAATGAGGCACTCTGATATGGTTTATGGGCATCCCAAATGGTATCTCACCTACTATGTCAAATGCTTGCCTCTCATAAAAATGCCTCCCAAATGAAGTTGCTAAAATTAAATAAGTCTAGGAAATGTTAGTGTTTTGTATATAGTACTTGTGCTTATACTTGTAACAGTATTTATTGAAACATCAGTGTTCTAGGAATTGGTTTTACAGAGTAAACGAAATAGACAAATTCTTTTGGTGGGGGCGGGGAGGGTTGCATTGCATTGGGTGGAATGGAATAAATTTAAAATAAACAACTAAATATGTAATAAGCTCAATAATCAGAAACATGGTGGGCAAAAAGAAGGCTGTATAAGGGGAATAGGTAAAGCTGACTGCAGAATTTTGTGTGTGTGTGTTTGTAATTAGTATGTGCTAGATTCTATTTTCTAGGTGGTGGTCAGGAAATCCTTTATTAAGGAGGAATCAGGCCCCTGAGAGAGGAAAATAAAATACTTGCTCCGTGTCCAGAAAAAAAAAGTGCCTGGGATATAGATGAGCAAAGAGAGAGAGTAAGATATTAAATCACATTGCTGTTATGTTAGGGCTTCGTCCAGCCTTGTGGGCCATTCTCTGGAGCAGTTTCATGAAGAAAGCTATGATTAGTCATTAGAAACTCTTAAAAAGTCAAGGAAAGGCATTATGTGATAAACCTTTTAAAAGGATGATTCTGGAAGTTCTCCTAAATATAAGCTGAAGAGAAAACGGGAATAAACATTATTTTAGCATTGGCTATTGTTATTATGTCGTCATCACCATTAAAAAACTAACAAACTATAGACTCATGTCAGGTGTTTGCTTTAGCTGTTAAGATGCCCACACATGCCATATCTGAATGTCTGGGTTGATCACATTTCGACTCCTTCTGTTGCAGTTCCAATAGAATCTCTCTCTTTCTCTTTCTCTCTCTGCCTCTCAAATAAAAAATTAAAAAATAATTAGTTTTACAAATGCATGTATTTGAAGTAGATAAAGTTAAATGTTACAGAATTAGAAGTCTTTTAATAAAGTGAAATTAATGTTTGTTAATTTAGCAAATCTCCCTTGTGTGCTCATATTTTTCTGGTCATGAAATTCTTAGCTTTAACAGAAGCTATAAGAAAAGCAGCCAAAATTTACAGAAGAGGTAGCAATATTTCTGTGTAATTATTCATATTTTACTGTCATTGTTACTGTGGATTTCTTATTTCTTAGGGACTGTGAACTAGATAAAAAGATATCACATCAACTCATAGCTCCAATTTCACTCATTGTGAAGTACTAAAACAATATCATTGTGTTGTTTTCTCTTCACTATCATCTCTTTGTTTACAATGCAATTATTTTTTCAGGCATTCTTCTTGGGTCACTGGCATTTTAAAAAGATATTAGTGATTTTATATACAGCAACAATGACTTCTATTGAGCTCAACTATAAACACACATAGCTATTTGTATTATTATTAATTTCTAAAATTTTATATCTGAAAGGTGTAATTTAGTTACATTGGCATTAGTGAAAAGTACATCCCACTATTTATATCTCTATTTAGCCACAGATCAATAAATGCTCAGTGATACTTCACTATAGAAATAGTCTTACCTGTGTGTTTCTAAAAGCCATCTCCTGAGAATTTTCACTACAGATTCAATATTCATATCTGCCCTCATGCTTGATTTATATTTTGAAACAGATTGCACCCCAGTGTCTTAAATGCAACCCATAAAGCAAGTAGCCATCCATCAATGTACTCGTGGTATTTGAAAAGTTTATATTTAATTGCTAACGAAAAGCCAGATGGGAACAAAAGTAATTTTGTCTTTATTGTTATGTTTCTTTAACCAAATAAGAAAAGAGATAAACTCAGAATCTACTTGACTCACCGACATCCAGAAGTGAATGTGTGTGATACTTATATCCTGTAACAAAATTGCTTAAAATAAGTGGTGGGGACAAAACTAACATGGCTTTGATGTTAAAAGTTTTTTTTCCAGTATTTGTGTTCATCTTGGGCTGCAATTTTCACATTATGATGTGCACGTTGTTTTTGTGCCTTGCATGGATTTGCATGAGACACGTGCTTGGATTTCAGCATTTTAATGTAAATATGCCATGTTTGAGAATTAAAAGTATTTGGGAACACATGATGAAACGAACAAAGAAACCATGTATTTTCTTTCTTCTCTCCTTCCTTTTTTTCTTTCCTTCATTCCTCCTTCCTCTCCTTTCTTTCTCTTCCTCCATCTTTCCCCAACTCCTGTAATTTCCGCCCCCCCATCTGTCTTTCATGGAAAGTCATGTTGTGCTCCATAAGTTCTGTATAACAAGTATGGAAAATTAAAATATAAGGAAAAGAAGCAAAGTTATGATGAAATACTTCTATTTAGAGATACTTTCATGTCCAATTTTCTGTATAATAATGGTAATTTTGATCAGTGGATAAAGGATAGATGCTGTTATCATTCAGGTCTAAATGAAATTATGCAAACAACTAAAAGTACATAGGTTTTCTTGTTAAAGGCCCAGAGACTTTGACATTTCAGAACAACATGTATTCAGTGATGCACTGTATGACTGGACGAGGCACTGGCTCCCCAATAGCAAGCATTTGATTCCAGCAATCAGGAAGGTAGTGGTAAATTTCCCTCTAACCAAAATAACCTGTGATTCATTTTGTATTCACAGAGAATCATGCAGGTGTGCAGACATTCAGTTCTATCACCTAAAAAAAATTAAGTAGAAATAATTCATTCCTAGTTAGTAGCTAAGGATGCTGCTACTCTTACATGGCGTTCCTAGCCAATCAGTTTAATTTCTCCTCTGCAATACACAGAGAAGAGAAATCAAACATGAAAAGAAAAGTAGTTTAAAGAAAATAACAAGATTCCTTAATAAGCATTAACTAGCATCTTGCTATTTAAGTGAACAAAGTAATGGGCTCCAACAAAGAAAATAAGACAAGTAAAAGAAATGACAAAGAAAATAGAATGCCTGGAAGACATTTCTGAAAAACACCCACTTCCTAAAGTAGACAGATCTTAGTCACTGATACTTCTTTAAAAATTCAGACTTCCAGGTGAGTCTAGGTGGTGATTTTACAAGAAAGTTGATTTCAGCAAATTAAGATATTGAAGATATGAAGGACTAAAGTCCAGTTAAATTCCAATGAACACTGAGTTATTTTTTATTAAATTGTTTTGTAGAATAATTAAAATAATCAAATGTTATTTTGGTGATATATATATGTATATATATATGTATGTATAGCCAATTCTCCTGCTGTTTAAGTTACATACAAGTTTCTTTTCAACAGGATATATAATCCAAAAGCCTTGCCATTTAACAGCATCATAGGAATTTGCTAGAAACTCAACCCCCTTCAAAAGCTCAACTCAAATTTCTGGCTCAAACTGTACTGACCCAAAGCTTTCACTTCCATCTGTCCTAAAACACACTTAAATGGAAAGAACAAAAGAAACGACTGATGAACCATAAGCTCCCTGGAAGTAGGAAAGCACATCGCCAATACCCTGTCTTTAAGAGCGCAAATCTCCACCAAAGACTAGAGGAGTATTCACCCAGGTGACACTGCAAGCCCTAGCACCATAGGGGCTGATGAGAGCAATAGGGAGGACACTGCTTCTCTAAGGATTCTCAGAAGTTGGCCAGAGCTGGAAAGCAGAGACAGGCATGGGAAGAACTTAGACGAGTTAACTGAACAAATATGGAAACCTCGACTTGGATTGCACTTAGTGCTCAGCCCATTCCTCTTTATGTCACTAATAGCTAAATAAATTAAGTAGGGATATTACTCTGCATTTTCCATGTGTGGTCGTAGAAGAAAAACAGGTCACGGTTGCTATGAAACTTGCCAGGAAATGTGTACAAAGCATGCAACAGAAGAGAGAAAATTATAAAATTAAATTTATAGTGCACATCACCAGGTAAAATCTTTTCTGTTTTTGTTCACATGGATACATGGGTTTCTAGCTACTTTCTTTACAAACTATCTAATGAGAAGCTTTGTTTAAATATCCCCTGCCCACTTACTCAGCTCCCGAGAGCCGGATCAGACACAAGTGCCAAGATAGACATGGAAACAGATTTTCAAAAGTGAAAGGAAATCATATGCCAGCAGCTTACATTAATGAAGAGGATGATTTATATTTATCTACTAATTTAAAAATCACTAACCATGTGAAAATAAAAGAGTAAAAAACAGAAACAATGCTTACAGATTAATTTACTTGAAGTAATATAGATAAGCAGAAAGAAAAAACGCAAATTAATTGTTTATTCATGAAAATCTACCAACTTTTCAGGTAGTGTTACATCACTGAGAAAAGAGAATTTGAGAAAAGGCATTCTAAAATGTTATGAACATGATTGATATATATATATTTAGGGGATAGTTAAACTTGTATACTGCTTATACCTGTGTTCTCACTTGATGGGAGTTACCAAATGTTTGTTATTCCCAATTGTGTTACAAATAATTAAATGCCATGATTCAAAAATTAAAGTTAGGGTTCAGTATTGTGGTGCAGTGGGTTAAGCCACCTCTTGTGACACTGGCATCCTACATCTGAACAGCTGTTCATTCCCAGTTACTCAGCTTCCGATCCAATAACTTGCTAATGTACATGAGAGGCAGCATATGGTGACCCAAATACCTGGGCCCCTGTTACCCATATGGGAGACTCAAATGGAGGTGCTGACTCTAGCCAGGTCACTTTCTAGCTGTTTGCGGTCATTAGGGGAGTGAACTAGTGATGGAAATCTTTGTTTCCCTTTCTGAATCACTGACTATCCTTTTTTCTCTGGTACTCTGTCTTTTGATTAAATAAATCTTTTTAAAGATTAAAGTAACTGTAAAAAACAATGTAAGCTATATAATTTCCTCAAATTAACAGTTGGCAAATGTCATGAAATTTCAATTAGTTCTGAAAACTAAAGAAAAAATTCACAGATAGCTTAATAAATAAGATGTATAAAATATAACGGTGGGTGGAAAGCAAATGCATGCACAATTTTTAATAAAATAACATCAAAAATACTTTAGGGGCTGCTGTTGTATCATAGCAGGTAAAGTCACTGATTGCAATGCCAGCATCCCATATGGGTGCTGGATTGAATTCTAGATGCTCCCCTTCTGATCCAGCTCCCTGCTGATGAGCCTGGAAAAACAGCAGAGAATGGCCCAAATACTTTGGCCCCTGCACCCACCTGGAGACCTAGAAGAAGCTCCTGGCTCCTAGATTCGACCTGGCCATTGTGATCATTTGGGAAGTTAAATAGCAAATGGAAGATTTCTCCCCCTTCTCTCCTTCTCTCTCTGTATCTCTGCCTTTCAAATAAATAAAATAAATTTAAAAAAAATCCTGTGTGAATCTGAGAAGCAATGGTGTTGTTGCACTGAAGCAAGGGGAATGCATACCATCCCTAATTGCTTGTATTAATGAAATTTCTTCTCTATTTCCACTATTTATTGCCTAGTCTCCTCTCAACATATTTTAAGCCTCTGTGGTTCTAAGTCAAAGATTATATAAAATTGTCCAAAAGGACAGTTCTGAATTTCAGCTGGAGAATCAGCAGTTATCGGGTGTTTGAACACAAAGTTCATAAGAAGACTAAGCTAAAGTAAAAGATAAGAATCCAAGTTTTAACTATTTCATGAATGACCATAATCTACACATGTGTTATCTCTGATATTCACTCAGGTACTCAAAAGTTTGGGATATTTAAAACTCTCTTTTCTGAATAAAAGCTGCCAAAGAATTGAAAATACATAAATATTTTGACAAAATTTAAAAATTTATTTATTTATTAAAAATCAGAATTGGAGAGAGAGTGCGAGAGACAGAGAGAGAGAGAGAGATTGATTGCTATCCACTGATTCCCTCCCAGATGGCCGCAAAGGCCAGTACTGGGTCATGTTGGAACCTTCATCCAGGCCTCTCACGCAGGTGACAGGGTCACAAGCACTTGGGCCATCCTCTGCTTCTTTCCCAGGCCATTAGCAGGGAGCTGCATTTTAAGTGGAGCCAGTGGGACACAAACCAGCACACATGAAGGATGCTGACAGCCTTAACAGCAAAAAAAATCGGCCCCATCAAAACCACTCTTGCAGTGCTCAATGTTTTTCTTCCATAATTTTACAAAATTTTATAAAAAAAGGTAGATATTACTAGCCTATTTTTTGAGTTGAAGATTCACATTAAGCAATTTGCCAAATGTTACCTCTACAATGTAGCAGAGCCTCAATGTAAACATATTTTAATCTAATTTTAGATATATCTCCTAGCTAACTCATTATATGTAAATTCCAAATTCTTACGTTGTTGAAAGAGGATTTAATCTAAGCAAACTATTCTCTACACTGCAGCTCTCAATGTAAGGGAATATGTCAATACCCGCTTCAATTGCTCAGTCGGAATGTGGACAACAAAAACTAAAGCAGATGGTATAGCTGTGCGATTAACTTTCTTCTGCTTTAACTTTCTTATTTTTTTTCCTTTTGTACCAAACATCATTTATTTGCCAAGTAAAATTAAACAGGCTTTAGGGGAAAAAAGCTCAGGTTTTTGAAGGATGATCTGAGGAAAGAAAATGAGAAAAAAAAAAAAAAAGACTGAAAGACTGGTGTATTTAAAAACTTATTTTTTTTTTTTTCACTTACACTGTTTGTGTAATTTTTCCAGTTTAAAAAGAATGAGAAGGGCCGGCGACAAGCTGGTCCCGGCTGCTCCTCTTCCAGTCCAGCTCTCTGTTGTGGCCCGGGAGGGCAGTGGAGGATGGCCCAAGTGCTTGGGCCCTGCACCCATGTGGGAGACCAGGAAAAGGCACCTGACTCATGGCTTCTGATCGGCGCAGTGCTGGCCGTGGTGGCAATTTAGGGAGTGAACGAACGGAAGGAAGACCTTTCTCTCTGTATCTCACTGTGTGTAACTCTACCTGTGAAATAAATTAATAAAAAATCTTAAAGAAAAAAAAAAAAGAAAGAAAAATACACCTTTCATCTTAAAAAAAAAAGAATGAGAAAGCTAAGTTTATAAGTAGCATTTTTCTACTAAGTCCTTAGGAAGTAGGCCTTCTGTGTTTGAATTATTCCTGTATTGGCAAAACTAACGTACAGAACAGTATGTTGTAGGGTTCCTTACTGCAGCCACTATCGATGGGAAGCCATGAAGTAACAGGTGTTCTTTATGTGATGAACAGCAGTGTCCGTGTTTAGACAGCTGCCTCTTTTCTGTGGGGCATGTAGCATGCTTCCTTTTCTCAGATGCAGCTATGCTCAATGATTTCTAAATTAGGATTGGATTTTATTAATTTCGGACTTACCTAAAATTAAATTCCTTTTGCAGAAAGTTGGAATGAAATTTCATGAGTTTTTGGAGAATGGCAAAAATCTGATTAACATTTCCTTTGAACGGAAAATTGAACTCATACTTTTGTGAAAAGTTCCACTGAAAATAAACCAATTAATAAAATTATACTTTAGTTTCATGATGACTTTCTTCATTTTTATGGGGAATAGATTAGGCAGACTTAGAGTATTGTGGGAATGTCAACTAAGTTGAATTAAAATGATGATATAAATATTGCCAACAAATATTTTTCCTAACCAAGGCTGATAGTAATCTCTACCCTTAACTATATGATTTTTGTTTTGTGTTAGCTTTGATAACAATAGCAGTAAAGCCATGCCCCTAGGGGTCTGACCAATGATAATCTTAATTTCCCCATTCTAGTCTACACATTGTACAGGCATTCATGTGAACTACACCTCTGCCCAGAATCCTGCAATACTTACTGTTTCCAAAAATAAAGAGATTCATCAGGGCTTTTCTGAATGTGGATAACTAAACTATATTGTGGGGTCTTTTTGAATAATTTTGTTTTTCTTATAGCATTCATCACAAAATGTATTATCACTCTCTAAACTTCCCAATTCCTTATATGAATAGGATGATACAGAAATGACAAGGAGAAATTAAATTTGGTTTTGATCTTTTACATAATGAGATATTTTTAAAAATTTGTAACTGTTTTTTATCTGCCAGCATATCAATTTTCTACTATGTTAAACATTTAAAATTCTGATAGAAAATTTTATGATACACATAAAGTTATTAAGAGAGATCTGAGTATTTCTAGATATATAATAGAAAAAAGTTCAGTTTATTGTTTCCTGATTTGACTTTATCATACTAAAGTTTAAATGACATAACAAAGCTATCATTATGTGCTATTGTAGGAATATAATAATATATTATGCTTAAATTAACATTGAAATTATCACCTAGTAAATATTTGTGGGGTGAACTGAATACAATTTTAAACATTTTGGGGGTATTTTGTCACTATAAACGCTATTGTACGTACATAAACCACACATGCAAACACACGGTCCCAAATTGTAGTTTTAAGCATATAAATATATTTACTGATTTATGATGTCAAAATAACTCCAAGTAAAGTTAATATTACTACATTGTAGCTAGAATTATATATACTAAATAGAATTCTGTTATTGATTTGTTTGCAATTGGTTTGCTCAAATGGTAGTAAAGAATAAAGAAAAATCCACAATACACATTTTATGCTTTTTTGAAGATCACTGTTAGTAAAAATTATGTCTTTCAGGTATGCTTTGATTAAAAACATGTAGAAGAGGACAGTGTTGTGGTATAGTGGGTAAAGCCATTGCCTGCAATGCCATCATCCAATATTATAGCACTGGTTCATGTCCTGGTTGTCCCATTTCTGACCCAGCTCCCTGCTAATGGCCTTAGAAAGCCCCAGAAAATT